TGCTTTGTTGTGGCGCTACACTGGCATGGAGATCCTGAGCACAAGCGCTGCGTTAGAGGAGGCTGTGGGAACCAACATCGAGATCCGCGTGCACAGTACCCGGACTGCTCTGCTGGTTCACAACGCAAACACTCCAACGGTGGGACCCCACATGAGGATACGTTGGGATGGATCTCCTCCTGCGCCTCCTCCTTTCTCCTCCTGCCTGCCTGCTTCCCACCATGCATCCGCCTCCTCTTCCTCCCGCCTCCTTCGACCACGTGCGATTAGGACTGACGCAGGCCTCTGGACCTCGACCTCGACCCTGCCCTCGCCCCATGTCCCCTCCCCTGTGGCTGGGGAGTGGTGTCGGGACGGGCGCGTCGCAGCGGGCGGGACTGCGGGAGATGCTGACGCGGCCCACAACGGGTCCCAGCAGGCCGCGGCCCCGTCAGAGGCCGCCCCCCGCTGCCGCTGCATCGTGGCCCGAGCCTGCCCTCTGACGGGCAACACTGGCCTGGACCGCGCAAGGGGCACATCCGCCTCGGAAAGGCTGCCGAGCCGACAGGCCGACACCGATGTCGCAGGCCTCGAGGGCCTGGCTGGCTCCCCAAAATGGGGCCGGAACACCAGCCCGCCCCTGCACGGCCGCTGACCGAGGGCTTGAGACTGACGGCTCTTACTGGGACGGGGGTGGACTCGGCGAGGGGGTTGGTTTGTTCGGCTTCCCGAGGCTCGGGCCACGGCCGAGGCCCTCGGCGCCCGCGTTGTGGAGCGCAGGACCCGTGCGGCTCGAGCCGATCCCGCCATGAATTTATTTGAGCTTTCAGCCTGGCCTGGGGGGCGACCTTGGCCCTTGGCGGCGACCTCTGAGGCCGATGTGCCGCCTGTGTTTCGATGCATGCATGTGTGCGATCGCTTCCTGAACGGGTGCTGGACTCCTCTGGCCTTCTCCCCCGTGGGCCTCCTTCAAGGGAGGAAAGACCACCCGGACCGGACAACTGGCGTTTACTTAGACGGCCTTCGGCGTTTACAGAACAGCCCTGCGCTGTTCGATTCCTTCAGTGGGGGCGTTTAGTAAACGGCTTCGCGTGTCGGGGTGGTCATTATGGGGGGGGGGATGTTTTGCCCTCTACTCCTGCCTCCTCCTGGAAACTCCTGGGGCCTGGGGCCCGGTGCAGCCTGTGGCCTCCTGGGGGTTCTGGTGTTAAGTCGGGCCTGTCCCTCTACAGGAGGAATATTCAAATATAGTCAACAAAGAATATGGGACCGATTTGTTGTAGTATGTTTTGACTGTTTGGGAACATTGTTTGAATATTGTTTGTTCTTCGTCCAAAATCCGCCTGTAGGAGGACATGCCCGACCTGACTCTGGTGCCTACTGGGGCCTCCTTGGGCTTCCTGCGGCCTTCTGAGGCATTCCGAGGGCTCCCTCTCGAGAACTCCTCGCGACTCACACGCACACGAGGCTCCCTCTCGAGAAATCCGCAGGATTTGCCCCCCTGGGATGCTCAATTGCTATGCCTGCCGCAACTTGCCGATGACGCCTCGGGATAAAACATAAAGCGGGGGGGCCTGAGGGAGGGGGCTCCCGCTCGATATTTCCTCGCAACTCACTCACAGACGAGGCTGCTGCTCGAGGCATCTTCACGATTTGTGATGATGCTGATGATGATGAAGATGATGATGGTGATGATGTTGCTGCTGATGATGGTGATGGTGGTGGTGCTGGTGGTGGTGATGATGGTGGTGATGATGATGAGGCTGATAATGATGATTATGATGATGATTATCATGATGATGATGACGATGTTGATGATGATGATCATGTTGATGATGATCATGATGATGATGATGAAGATGATGATGGTGATGATGTTGATGCTGATGATGGTGATGGTGGTGGTGGTGGTGATGATGGTGGTGTTGATGGTGGTGGTGGTGGTGGTGATGATGGTGATGGTGGGGATGATGGTGGTGATGATGGTGCTGATGATGATTATGATGATGGTGATCATGATCATGCTGATGGTGGTGATGCTGATTGTAGTGATGATGATGATGATGGTGACGGTGATGGTGATGAGAATGATGATGATGTTGATGACGATGATGTCGATTGTGTTGATGATGTTGCCGCTGATGATGATAAGTATGATGATAACGATGATTATGGTGATGGTGTTGGTCATGGTGTTATTGTTGATGATAATGCTGATTCTGATCATGATGATAATGATGATGACGATGCCGATGATGACGATCATGCTGCTGATGACGATTCGCATGGTGATTATGCTGATGCTGATGATGAGGATTATTCACATGGCGGTGATCCACAGCAGTGTCCATGAATGGATCTGAGTGCGTGAGATGAGGATGTTGATGCTGCTGCTTCTGATGATGATGATGAGGATGATGATGATAATGGTGCTGATGATGGTGCTGATGATGATGGTGTCGGTACTATCCCACTCGCCTGTGTGATGCTCCGAGGCCTTGGTCAATTGCGATGCTTGTGCAAAGACAGCCTCCCACGCCGATGATGAAGATGACGAGGATGATGATGGTGGTGATGATGATGCTGATGATGATGATGATGGTGATGTTGATTATGATAATAGTTAGGATGATTCTGCTGATGGTGATCTTGATGAGAATGACGGTAATTGTTACGGTGATGGCGATGATAAGTTGACGATGTTGATGATAAAGATGATGCTCCTGACGATTCTAATGATGATGACGACGACGACGACGACGACGATGATGATGATGATGATGATGATGATGATGATGATGATGATGATGATGGTCGTGGTGGTGGTGATGATGATGGTGATGATGATGGCCATGAGGAGCGAGGAGGGCGAGGAGAGAGGCCAGGAGGTTGAGGTGAGGTGAGGAGGGCTTTGCGCGGGGCGCCTCGAGAGATGAAGAGCCCGAGTCAGTATGTCGGGGAAAAAGACCGGAAACCCGCGTGCTCGGCACGGGCACGGCACGGCACGCGGGCACGGCGTGGCACGCGCATGGCCCGGCCCGGCACGTGGGCGGCAATCTTGCCGCTCTCCAGAGACTGGGCACGGCACGGCACACGGCACGGCACGGCACGCGAGTGGCAGTTCTTCCGCATTCCAGATGCGAGGCACCGCGCGACACGCGGGTGGCAACCTATGGGCGTGCCATGAGAAGCATTTCGGAGTTTGTGAAGGCGGTGTTCGTTGCCTATGCTTCGCAGCTGGACGTGGACAAAGGTAACGCCCGCGTGCCACGCCGAGGCATGTCCGTGCTTTGCAGTCCGTGCTGTGCAGCACTGGACATGGGTGCAGGACGGGACATGCAGCTCGAAGCGAAAGGAAACAGCTTGGAGGCTCGAGCCGAGAGCTGGCATGGCGTGGTACGGACCAGTACGGCACGCGGGCACGACACGGCATGCGGGCGGCACATCTTCGTATGCACGACACAGCAGTCGGGCATGGCACGATACTGGCATGGACAGCGGCACAATACGGCGCGGCAAGGTACGCGGGCCTGGCCCGGCACGCGGTCACGGCCTGGCACGCGGGCAGAACCAGGCACGGCAGGGTATGTGCACGCGCACCCTCTGCACGGCTCGGCACGCGTGCACGGTACTGCAAGACACGGCACGTGGACATGGCACCACAGCACGACATTTCACGCGGGTGCGGCACGGCATAGCACGCGGGTGCGGCATGGAGCTACAGCGCGCACGAGACGGCCAGTTTTGTAGCATCATGTCATCCAGCCGTGGCACGGCCCGTTGCCACTTTGTCGACGTCTAGGATCTAGGCGCAGTGCACACAAGGTGGTGGTGGTGGTGGTGGTGCATGGCCTCACAGGGAGGAGGAGGAGGAGGAGGTGGAGGAGGAAGAGGAGGAGGAGGAGGAGGAGGAAGGAAGAGGAGGAGGAGGAGGAGGAGGAGGAGAGAGGAGGAGAGGAGGAGAGGAGTAGGGGAGGAAGGGTCTAGGAGGAGGGAGGAGCAGGAGGAGGAGGAGTGAGAGAGGAGGAGGAGGGGAGAGGGGGGGAGGGAGGAGGAGGAGGAGAGGAGGAGGAGGAGGAGGAGGTGGAGAGGAGGAGGAGGAGGAAGGAGAGAGGAGGAGGAGGGAGGAGGAAAGAGGAGGAAAGAGGAGGAGGAGGAGGGAGAGAGGAGCAGGAGGGAGAGGAGGAGGAGGATAGCAGGAGGAGGAGGAGGATGAGGAGGAGGGGGAGGGGAGGAGGAGGAGGAGGAGGAGAGGAGGAGGAGGGAGGAGGAGGAGGATGAGGAGGAGAGAAGGAGGAGGAGGAGGAGGAGGAATCAGGAGGAGGAGCAGGAGAGAGCAGGAAGGAGGAGAGGAGGAGGAGGAAGAAGGAGGAGAAGGAGGAGGAGGAGGAGGAGGAGACGGAAGGAGGAGGAGGAGAGGAGGAGGAGGAGGAAGGGTCGAGGAGGAGGAGGAGGAGGGCGGAGGAGGACAAGAAGGAGAAGGAGGAGGAGGAGGAGGAGGACGAGAAGGAGGAGGAGGAGGACGAGAAGGAGGAGTCGCGAGCCCATGGAGCGACGCGCCGAGTCGGATTCGGGACGGAATAGGGGGCAGGAAAAGGTGAGAAACGCGCAATCGAGCACAGAGCGAGTTCGGGCCCAGGGCGCATTGGCCCAGCCGAAGCATCACGGCCGCGACGAGAGGTCCCGAGGAAAAACGCCCAGGATCGGGGGCCACGAACCGAAACGACCGAGGACGGAGCAAAGCTAAAACGAGTTAGCAGAAACAACT